AACTTCTGATCTGAAACCTTTAGAAAATTATGCTTCACAATCTCCCTCCGAGAAATGACTATAATGCAGTCAAACCGTAACTGAAGAGCACAGCTATGATATATTTTGGTCAAATGCCCAAAGGCTCGGAAATTATGGAAATATATTCAACATCTTACCTTTCCATTTCTTGCAGAATGCTTTTGATGTCTTTTCCTAACTTAAACTTTTTCCCAAATGGAATGTCAGAAATAATAATATCGACACTTTCTGTAGGCAACGGCAATTCTGAAATACAGAAATCAGAGCATTCTATTACTGTGACCTTAAATATATACAATCCAAATCATGACAAAATTGAAGTAGATGCTTACTTTTGCATATTAAATAGAAAGTAAGATTATTAATATTGCTTCTAAGCAATTAACAAGATCCTTAAAATGGTCGTTATTGAATCCTTGCTCTTTGAAAATCGTTTTTTGTCAAGTATGATAAAATACAACTTAAACTGAACAGAATTTCTTAATTAAACAGACAGCCCAATTTTCTAAACTTGCATATTACCTGAATAGAAAACAGCCATATCTAGGAAGAAATCTGTTAACGATGGGTACCTTTTAAAAGGGAGTGTGGTGGCTCTACATGATAAGTACTGGATGGCAAACCACAAGATCCACAGTTTGAGCCCACCAGCTGTTTCATGGGAGAAATAACAACCTTTTTAAAAAAATTATTTTCTATAGCTTTTATTTTCATTTTCACAGTCATATATAAATTTTCTTATGTGAGTAGATCCATTTTAAGGAAGTACCCACAGTTTTCATTACATTTTTAAAAGAAACAAGAGTTTAGAACATCTATAAATGGTCTAAGATCAGAGAAAAGGATACAAATTAATAATCGACAAAATTAATATTGTTGTTGCTGTTGTTAAGCAACCATGTATAGGGCTTCCAAAGAGTGGCTGGTAAGCTTGAACCACAGACCTTGCAGTCAAATGGACTTTGCAGTCCAGCGCATTAACCCACAGCAACACATCGGGATTCCAAATTAATATTAGAACTAAACAAAATTCAATGTAATATCTGATTATTAAATCTAAGTTTCTTTCTTCGGTTCAAATCATAGTTAACTCTACGTACAATAAAACGAAACACTGTTGGTCCTGGGCCATCCTCACAATTATGTTTGAATCGACTGCTTTTGCCACTATGTCAATTCATTTCATTGGGGGTCTTCCTCTTTTTCACCTCCACTTTACCCAGTATGATGTCCTTCTCCGGGGATTGGTCCTTTCTAACATGTACAAAAATGAGACAAAGTCTCGCCATCCTCACGTCTACAGAGCGTTTTGGCTTCTTCCAAGACAGATTTGTTTGTTGAACTCTGAATATTGTACTTTCAATATTTTTTACCTGCATTGATTCTCCTATGGTCTTCCTTATTCATGGCCCAACTTTCACATACATGAGGCGACTGAAAATACCATGGCTTGAGTCAGGCGTACCTTAGTCCTCAAACTGACATCTTTGCAATTGAACAGTTTAAAGATGTCTTTTGCAGCAAACATGACTAATGCACTACATCTTGACTGCTGCTTGCCTGAGAGTTCAATGTAGATCCATGCAAAGTGAAGTCTTTGATAACTAAAATCTTTTCTCGGTCTACCATATTTTTTATTGGTCCATTTATGAGGAATTTTGTTTTCTTTATATTGAGATGTAGTCTCTATAGTGAAGGCTGTGGTCTTGGATCTTCATCAGTAAGTATTTCAAGTCTTCTTCACTCCCCGCAAGCAAGGTTGTGTCCTCTGCATAATGCATGAGTCTTCATGCCACATTCTTCTTCCTATAATCAAGCTTCTTGAATTATTTGTTCAGCATACAGATTAAATAAGTATGGTGAAAGGATACAAATCTGTGTACACCTTTCCTGATTTTAAATCATTAGGTATGATCTTGTTCTGCCTTGGTATAGATGAGTTAGCATTTTCAGCAATGCATCAGTTTGCTGAAACATTTGAATTTATATTCTGTCAATTCTTGGAGCCTTGTTTTTCCCTAATGCCTACAGTGCAACTTGGACTTCTTTCAATACAAATGCTAAGACCAATCTTAGCATTTATCTTTGCTTAGAATACTTTCTACTTATTTTATTTTTCACCTGTCATCTAAATTAAGTTTGATATTTACGAGGTGGATGATGTTTCAATTTTCATTTTAAGTAGTCTATAAATGGAGTCCTGGTGTGGTGCTGTGGGTTAATGCACTGGACTGCAATGTTGGTCTGAGCCATAAAGTCACTGGTTCAAGCTCACCAACGTTCCTTGGAAACCCTATACAGGGTTGCTATGGGTCGGAACAGACTCACCGGCACTTAACAACAACAGTGCTACGAGAAAGGAGCCCTGGTGGTGCTGTAGGATAAGCACTGGAATGGTAGCTGTAAGGTAAGCTATTCAAACCCACCAGCCATTCTGAGGAATGATGAGGCTTTCTATTACCATTAAGATTTACAGCTTTGTAAATCCTGTACAGGGTCGCTATGAGTAGGAATAAACTTGATGGCAGTGGGATTGGGGTTTATACTAAGAGCCGTAGCCCCACTGGTACAGTGGCTTAAGTATTTGGCTGCTAAGTGCAAGATAGGTGGTTCAATTCCACCAGACACACCGTGAGAGAAAGATGACGCTCTCTGCTCTATAATGATTTATAATCTTGGAAACCCTAAAGAGCAGGTTGACTCTGTCCTACATGGTTACTGGAAGTTGAAATCCACTTGATGGCAGGAGGTTTGATTTTTTGTTATACTAAGAGAAACTACTACATTTTATATAAATTATTAATTGACAGGAAATGAGAAAAATATTTTATTACCTGAGAAATGAAGTCTAATGAATTGTTATATTTCTCCTAGTTCTAATTTTTATCTGAGATTAGTAGAAAAAAGTAAAAGTAGATTAACAGGAAAAAAGTACCAGGACAATATTGTGTTAAACTTGGGCAATCATTTCTTTTTGCTTTAACTTCAGTTATGTTTTAACTTTATATACTAAGTTTTAGGGTGACTACATTGTTGTTGTTGTTAAGAGCCATCGAGGTGGTTCTGACCCATAGTGACCCTGTATAACAGGATTTCCAAGGAGCGGCTGGTGAGCTTGAACCATTGACCTTGCAGTTCAAATGGCTTTGCAGCCTGGTGCATTAACCCACAGTGCCACACCAACAGCATACATCATTTTAACTATTCCTATACTTGTTACAATAAGGAGCTCTGGTAGCGTAGTGGTTACAAATCAGGCTGTGAACCTCAGGGTAAGTAGTTCAAAACTACCAGCTGTTCCATGGGAGAAAGATGAGGCTTTCTGCTCCCATAAAGATTTATAGCCTCGGAAACCCTGTACAGGGTCGCTATGAATGGAATTGACTCCACGGCACACAACAACAATACTTTTCACAAAATTACTGAAGACACTGAAGAGTGAATGGACTCTAGACACTCATCAAAAAAGTGTAATGAAAAGATAATGAATACTGCCAAACACTTTCTGAAGCACCCTCATATATGGAATCATGTAGCAAATTTACTTTCAATCCCAAGTCTTTGTCTTATAGCACAAACGTATGCACCATGGCATGAATTAGGTACAGGTAACTTAAAACCAGTAACTATCTTTTTCTTCTAGTTGATCTCCATTATTTACTCACAACTTTCCTAATCTATAATGTCTAATTTGCTCAGTCACTAAATAATTTTAGAAGTTGTAAGAATGAAATACTTGACGAAGAGAAGAAATTTTATTTATTTATTTTTATTAAATTTCCAGAACTAAGTAGTGCCATCTTCCAACAGAAGATAAAGTAAGCTTTTGTTGATGTGGCTCAGAGTGCACAGTATCAGGCAGTCTGAATTTGGCATTGCCATTTATTTACTGTCCATGGAACTTTGAGAAATTATCGCTTTAGTGTCCTGATCTGTAAAATAGAATAGTACCTATATTAGAAGTAAAGTTTAATAAATGAGGTAATATATGGACAGCATTTACTATTATTACTATGTTGTTGTTGTTAAGTGCCATTGAGTCGGTTCCGACCCATAGCGACATAACAATATTACTATAGCTGTTATTGTTAGGTGCTATTGAGTTGGTTTTGACTCATAGTGACGCTATGCACAATAGAAACAAACACGGGCCTGTCTTGTGCCATCTTCACAATTGTTATGTTTGAGCCAACTGCTGCTGCCATTTTATCAATTCATCTCTTTGGCGGGGGGCGGGTTTTCCTCTTCTTCTCTGACCCTCTACTTTACACCAAGCTTGATGTCTTTCTATGGTCTTCTCTATTCATTGTCCAACTTGCACATGAATATGAGGCAAATGAAAATACGATGGCTCGGTGTCTTTGCTTTAACACATAGCGAGCAAGTAGTGGTTTCGAATCGGGCTGCGAAACGCAAAGTCAGCAATTTGAAACTACCAACTGTTCCGCAGGAGAAAGATGAGGCTTTCTGCTCCCGTAAAGATTTGCAGCCTCGGAAACCCTGTACAGGGTTGCTATGAGTCGGAACTGACTCCACGGAACACAGCCACCACCATTCCTGGTGTGGCTCTGTAGTGTAAGCTCTGGTCTGCTAACCATAAGGTCAGCAGTTCAAACCCACCAGTTTCTCCACAGAAACCCTATATAGGATTGCTATGAGTCAGAACTGACTCTACAGCACTAACAACAACATTACTGTGAAGAACTGATGCATTTGATTTATGATGTTAGAGAAGAAAATGAAAAGCACTGTGGACTGCCAGAGAAGCAACCAAATCTATGTTGGAAGAAGTACAGCTAGAATGCTCTTTAGAAGCCAAGATGGGAAGACTTTATCTGTCATACTTTGGACACATTTTCAGGAAGGAGCAGTCCCTGAAGAAGGACTTCATGCTAGGTAAAGTGGAGGGTCGGAGTAACAGAGGAAGAGCCCCAATGAGATGGAATGACACAGTGGCAGCAACATGGGTTCAAATGTGATAACAATTGTGATGATGGTACAGGACCAGGCAGTGTTTTCATTCTGTTGTGCACAGTGTCACTACGACTTGTAACTGACTCTATGGTACCTAACCATCTAACAACAATTACTACGGTCATTATTTATAATGTCCTATTTAACATCTGAGCTCTGGGAGCGTAATGATTATGAATCGGGCTGCTAACGTCAAGGTCGGAAGTTTGAAACTACCAGCTGTTCTGCGGGAGAAAGATGAGGCTTTCTGCTCCCGTAAAGATTTGCAGCCT